GTGACCTCCTGGTATCTTTTCACCTCCTCCTCAGCTGTGGCAGATAATGATTTTGGTGGGGCTCCAACATCACCATAAGTCTGACCAAGCAAGTCTGTTAACCCACAAGACTTCCTCATCTTGGCTGGTATGAGAGGGGGTCTGAGATTTTGTTCAGTCTCGTCAGGTTTCTCATGATGTTCATGGGCTTCTGGCTCACAGATGGGCTGCTACCTCTGCTGCCTGAGCGTATGGGCGAAACACTTCACATGCAGGTATCCCGCTAGCTGAGTGGCAATTGTCATATTAGAAGCATTGTCGGTGACAACCACCAGATTTTTGTCGGCAATCCCCCATTCCTGTGCTGCATTTTGCAGGAGATTTGCAATGTTCGCTCCGGTGTGACTTTCATGTAATGTTCGAGTTTGGAGAACGTAAGACAGCAGCAGTTGCCAGTCCGCTGTGAGATAATGAGCTGTTATAGTCACATATGAATCCACAGCCCGCGAGGTCCATGCGTCGCAAGTTAATGCAACCCTTTCTGCTGTGCTCAAACTTTCCTCAACTTTACGCTTCACATCTATGTAGAGATTGGGTACGGCTGTGTCCGCGAAAAAACGTCGTGATGGTATCACATACCTGGGTTCCAGCGTCTTGATCATGTAAGAAAAGCCCTCGTTTTCCACAATGTTGTAAGAACGCAGGTCTTTGCAGATGAAGTACGTGATAGATTGTGTTATTTTCTTAGCTCGCTCTGAATTGGGAGATAGCTTTGCTAAGCTAAGAGTGTCCAGCGTTGGTTGATTTTTCAGTGGAGCTGATTCAGAGCTAGCTTTCCCGTCCGCGGTTAATGCTATTTTTGGATGGTGCCGTGTAAGATGGGCCCTCATGTTCGTAGTATTCCCAGAGTACTTTATTTTCATACGACACACCTTGCAAATCCCGTGTGTCATATCCATCTCATTTGTTCCATCCTTGTTAAAAAATCCAAAGTACGTCCAGACATTTGATTTAAACGCAGATGGCGCTTTCCTGATCTCTTTTTCTTCCTCCATCTTTGTTTGATCTATTTTCCCATGTGCTGACCTAACCTCTGCTGACCTCACTAGAGAAAAAGCTCAACCGCACCATCTGGTGGACTGGAAGTTTTTGGAACAAAATATCGATATCTGCTGTCCCTGTATCGATACATTATTAGCAAACAAAATATCACGATACTACGCAGTATCGATTTTTTCCACCACCTCTAATTTCCCACCATATTTGAACCAAACAACAGTGAAAAGTTATCATTGACAGCAATTATCAACACAACAGCAGCCGTGTGCTTAAATGGGTTTCAGATTCACCTGAGCCTTGTTACTTGTTCAGCAGGTGACAAAAATAAACTAAAATGAACCTTTGTGGCAGCAGCACACCCTTACATGAATCTATACAAGGAACACGGGCTGGAATTTGGACACACCTCTATCTGTTTTGGACAGAATGTTCAAGCTAGTAAATCAGATGCACACTCCCACTCTCCACACCACTTAAAACGAAATCTTTTGTTTACGCATTCCAAGAAATTTACTGTCGCGGATTTTTTAAAATGTATTTATTTTCTCTTATAAAAGTAATTCTCACCAGTGGGCCTATTTTTATGGAAGAGCGTAAATTAAATACAGGGTAGCAGTAGTCTTTTTTAATTTTTTTATAAACTGCAAACTACAATGGTAAATAAGATCAATAGTTGCATATAAATTACATATACATGTATGTTTTAAGAATAACATGTGTGCACCTCTATAACAAAACAGCACTGCCAAGAGGTCTTAAATCTTTTTACTGATCAGTGAATCTGTGTTTTTTAACTGTTGTTTCCAGAGAGTCAGAGACGGAGCTGAAGCCGCTGCCTAAGAAGAGCATTGACACAGGGATGGGTCTGGAGCGCCTTGTGTCTGTACTGCAGAACAAGATGTCCAACTATGACACTGACCTTTTCATACCGTACTTTGAAGCCATTCAGAAGGTACAGAAGTGTCAAGGATTTGTGCGAAAGAGAGAGAAGATCTATCCTTTACTTGACAGTTCAATGGAAGAGAAATTATGATTAGATTGGGCAAGATCCAGTAAATAGTAATAGCTACTGAATCAAAATATCAAAATTTATTCCTATAAATTAATCTGGTAGTATGAATCCACACAAAGTTGCCTTAACAGCAGCATTTATCAACGTGTTTATTTACATTAGAGGAAGACGTTTGGGGCCCACATATCTAACATTAAGAATATGATCTATTTCAGGGTACGGGTGCTCGACCTTACACAGGAAAAGTAGGTGCTGAGGACGCTGATGGTATCGACATGGCTTACCGTGTGCTTGCTGACCACGCCCGCACCATCACCATCGCCTTATCAGATGGCGGTCGGCCTGACAACACAGGAAGAGGGTAAGACATTGTTAATTGTTTAAATACTCAACAGACTTAACAGTAAGTAACATGATTGCTGCAAATGAAAAGTTTTGTGGAGCCTTTTTTTACACATCATTAAAATATTTTGTTGTTTCCACCATATTTAGCTATGTGTTAAGGAGGATCCTGCGCCGTGCGGTCAGATATTCTCATGAGAAGCTGGGCGCTCAGAGAGGCTTCTTTGCCTCTCTCGTGGATGTAGTGGTCGATTCCCTGGTGAGATTTTCTTTCCTTTGTAGTCCACGTAGGCATTACAGACACACAACTTGCTGTTGTTTGGGTTATTGTCATGAGGGTTACGTTAATTTTTAGCTGTTTTATTCTCTGATCTTGTAGTGTGACTGGGTTAATGTTGAAGACAGTTTTCCTCTTGCGTTTTTAAAAAGCATTTCCTACTTTAGAAGCCAAAAAAACATTTGTTCTTTTCTACCAAAACTAGTTTAATTCCATTTTTTTTATGCTTAATTGCATTTACTGGATGACAGCAGTGAATAGAATTCACTGCAGGAAGCATCCTTATTATTAATATTAGATTTCACATGAGATTTTGTTTTATATATTCTTAATTGTGAGGTGTGTATTTTGTATTTTTCAGTGTTGTGAAAAAACATGACTGTTTCAAAAAATCTTGGTGTTTAGTATTAGTTAATATATAACACTTAATAAACTCTAAATGATGTGTCTCTTTTTTTTTCTCCTCCTTTTCCGTTTCTTTCTTTCTTCCCCCCTCTCTGTCTACATCTCCATCTGTCTACTTTGACTGCATTTTCCAGGGTGAAGCATTCCCAGAGTTGAAGAAAGACCCAGAAATGGTGAAGGATATTATTAACGAGGAAGAGGCGCAGTTCCTTAAAACCCTCAGCAGAGGGCGCCGTATCCTGGATAGGAAGATAATGAGTCTGGCTGACACAAAGACAATCCCAGGTGAGAGTGCGGTGTTTAGTGTAATGTGTGTAACTTTCTTTTGAGAAGTTCACTGCTCTGTTTTTGTTACATCCTCCCTGAATTATCCTCGTCATTTTATCCTTTCTTCACCTTTCATCTGTCTTCACCACCCACATGACTTCTTCTTTTCTTGGCTCATTTTTCTGTCATTTCTTCCCTCCTTCAGTTGCTTTGTTTTCCCGCTTTTAATCCCATCAGAATTTGTTGGCATTATGGTTCAGTCTCTCCCTTCATCTTTTTGTCTGATTGTCATTCTCAATGCCTCAGAGCTTCTCAGATCAGTACAAAAATACTCACTAAAGGGAAGGAATTAGTTTGAAAAGCTAAAAATTCATCAGTTGACGTTTCACACTATAAATTCAAGCGACATAAAAATTGATGCGCATTCAGCTTTGCTTATAAACGTAACCCTCCAGGGTTGTTGGTGTACACTGTAATGGATTTTTTCAAAAGTTGTATACCTCAAGCAAACTAATATTTCTTCATTGTCACAAAGTGTGTCCAAATCATTACTGCACCCTGCAAACATAAGCTGCTACAAAGCAGTTTATTTGTGCTTTTCATGCTTTTACTTATCCAAACAATGCCTCCAGTCCATCAATATTTTTTTTATTGTCTGACTCAAGGACATAAGTGTTTAAGCAGTGTTGTTTCAGACACTCACACTTCTGTCTTTTCTCCCTCTCTCCATGCACACAGGTGACACAGCATGGTTGCTGTATGACACATACGGTTTCCCTCTGGACCTCACCTCCCTTATTGCTGAGGAGAAAGGCATGGAGGTTGACCTGGCTGGCTTCGAGGAGGAGAAGAAGGCTGCACAGGTGAGCAGATGATTGTTTGAAAATGGCCTTGACCGTCCCGACTCTACTGAGTCTCGCTAACTACCCTACTGTGCCACTCCTGTGGGTGCACTGTTTTGCTTTGTGTCAGCATTCTCCAGTACTGCACTGTAAGTCAGAATCAGGAGTCATGCACCTGCTGTTTAAATAAGCCTACATTTACTTTACAGCCCTGTGTGAATCCCTTGTTGTTTGATTAAGCCAAAAGATTGATTTGCTTTCCGTAAAACTGCAACCTCTGATTTCTATCCCACACATTTCATCGATTTTGTACGAGTCTCAAACCAATACTGCAGTTCTCCTCATTCCCACTTGGGGGAGTTTGACACAGAACACAATCACTCTACAATATCTCCTTAACCTTATATAGAGTTACCAGTTTATTAGATACACATGTGAAGCCTCAAACCAGTTTTTCTCAGCGTTTTAAAAAAATAGTATCACATAAGTACTTATTTATTATTCAAGTGTGTCTTGAAGAAGGAGAACAAATTTAGGAACATTGCAAACTTCAAATGTTCTCAGTGGTCTTTAACATGAGAAACTTACATTATCCAGAAAATATCTCATTACATTGCAATATAAAGTGCCTTGAGGCAACTGTTGTTGTGAATTGGTGCTAAATAAATAAAACTGAATTGAATAAATATACAGAAAAAGAAACTTGCAAAATATCTCATAAGTGGGATTTCTACACTTCTGGGTTTCTACAACTATACTGCATTGTCCTCTCTTTCCCCCAGATTTTGCTTCGTCATGGCTGTAATTTCTTCTCCCTTTATTCTTTTCCCCTCATCTTACTGAGCTGCATCCATTCTGCACTAAAGCACTACATGTTTTACAAATCCAATTGCTCATTTAACTGTTATGTGCTTAAGCAATGGATGCAGTCTGAGCCAGTTTACCTGAAATTTGTCTTGTGGCTGTCCCCTCACTTGTTGCTGTTTCCTTTTGTTTTTCTGAGTTGATTAACATTTATGTTGGCTAGAAATCAACATATGCATCTTTGAAACCTGTCTGTAAGAAACTGAGAGAGCTTATAATCTTGTAAAGAAAAGGAAAGAGAGCTCTCAAAGTGCTGCTTGGGTCTGATTTTGTGCCATCTCTGTAGCACTCCCGCAAAGTCACTCCATCTTCCACACTGATATAAATTAGGGCTGAACGATTATGGAAAATAATCTAATTGCGATTTTTTGCCCCAATATTGCGATTGCGATGCGATATGCGATTATTTTTTAAGGTCTTTGTCTTCTGTATTATTAAACAAAGACAAGCAATACATCATATAGTATGGCCAATACTATATTACATTAATTTTAAACTGTTCTTTCCTGGAAGACAGACCTCTGTTATGATGACATGAGGTGATGCATGAATTGATGACTGACATTTTTATTTAACTTCTTCAATCACAACAGTATATTTGAACATACACAATAGTTTATTTTTAGCTTACAAACATCTGAGCATAAAGTGCTGACAAGGAACCCTGGTGTAAACATTAAAATGAAAGTCAGTACAATGTGCAGATTGCAGAAATATACATAAAAAAAATCAGTGGCTTTACCACACTCAGTTTTTTGACATCTGTGAACTTAGACAGTCATTCAATTAAAAAATATTAAATAAATAAAACTAATAAATAAAAAATACACACATCTTACTGATCTCTGCAGTCAGTAACATTACACATAAAGTGCAAACATAATAGCAATTGTATAAACACACACACAAACACGCCTTTAAAATTTAAAGGCGTGAAATTGGACGGTCTAGCCTTCTGATTAGCGTCACCGCTGTCTCGGTGGAGTTTAATAAACTCGGCCGTCTGCTTCTTGCTATCTAAAATATAACCAGACACTGGTGTAAATTCTCGACTGTCTCATACTTCTGTTTAATAAGTTTTCTGTTTGACGTTTAGTCAGCTGTGTAAAAACCAAGGAGGAACCCACCCGGGGGATTAATAAAGTTTTATTTTATCTAATCTAATAACTTTAATCTCAGCCAAACCGATTTACTCACGAACAAACAAAACACTGAAAAAAGCCCAACAATAACATTTTTAGGTTGTCTAAGTGACTTATATATTACGTTTAACCCGAGCAGCGAAACTCCGCGGTGATCTGAAAATGATGTGCCGGGAGTTGTGCCGTTCTCGGCCGCATCAGTAACCCTCGAGCTCGCGGCTAGCTGTCGAGCTAGCCGGAGGGTAGCAGACGCCTCTGAAAACGTCGAAGCACTTTTGCAAATATGGGATATCTTGATAAACCGAGCAGATATTTGATGTTTACACAACTACTTTCTCGCCTGAAAATATGTTAAAAGTTTATTTTGTGACCCAGAAAGATTAGTATGAGTAATTTTAAAACTTAGTAGCGGCCGCCATTGCTGGAAACTGCAGTTTGGCTGGGCCGCGCTATGAATTCTGGGATATGGTAGTAATTTGGACAGCCTTCGGCGCGTCGCTGTGACGTAATCGGTCTACAAATGCGGCCTCAGGAGGATGCAGCCCATGAATTTGGACATGTCAGAGTATAATCGCAGCCTTTGCGGTTAGAAAATTGCACTTGATCATGTCGCGATATTATCGCAAATGCGATATATCGTTCAGCCCTAATATAAATGTAGAACGCTTAAAATTATTAGATATTGATGTAAATGTACAGGAATTTAACTCATTATATCTGCTACAGTTCTGGGAACTGATTGAATGCATGAATTATGCACAATCTTGCACAGTCATTATTTAACAAACGTCTAATCTTTATTGAATGATTATACCAGGCAAATTGTGATTGTCTTTGCTATCAGTCATTCTGTAATTATGTAAAATTTTAATTGTAAATGTTTCTGTATTTTGGGGGTTATGACTGAGCATAAGTCTGTGTTTGTGTGTGTGTAGTTGAAGTCCCAGGGTAAGGGCGCGGGAGATGAGGACCACATCATGTTGGACATCTACGCCATCGAAGAGCTGAGAAACAAGCAGATACCCGCCACAGATGACTCTCCCAAATACAATTATACCTCAGATGAAAACGGCAACTACCGTAAGTGATGCATAGAAAAGCACTATATAACAAGTCCATTTACCTTTTAAAGTCAACTGATCTGTATCCTAATATTGTACCCAGAGTTCCAGCAAACCTCAGCTACAGTGCTTGCCCTCCGTCACGACCGCGCCTTCTGCGATGAGGTGACCACGGGTCAGGAGTGCGGCGTGGTGCTGGACCAGACGTCCTTCTACGCAGAGCAGGGTGGACAGACGTTTGATGAAGGCTACATGCTCAGAGAGGATGACAGTACAGAGGATGTAAGTGCAATAAAAATAAATTGAGGGAAACAACACCTAGGTTCATGTGCTTTTTACACTTCTGTAATGAGCTCTGTTAATCCTGTTTGCGTTGTAAAAAAGAGCTTTGATAGTTTCCCTTCATTAGGGTAATTGTCACAGTTGGAGTTTGTTTTTCCTCCCGAACACATTGCAGGTACAGAGAAATCGAGCTTTACCTTTTGTCAACTTTTAACTGGGCGGATGAGAATTGCACAGTCTATCTTCAAAGCTAACACATTTGTTCAAATAGCACTTCTGGATCTGATAGCTGCTGGAAATCATGGCCGTGAGCAAACAGCCCATCTGCTTGGCGAAAAAGCCTGCGAAATGAATTATCATAGTTCTTACAGAAGAATGGACAAAAGATAATAAATTGTTCTTGTCTCTCGTCCATAACTGAGAACTTGAATGGCATGAAAACATTCATATCAGTTTTAGCAGAACATCTGTGGGGGGGGGGATCCATTCAAATGCCAGCACTTCATTTCTTTTGTATGTCTTTATGTATTCTCGTAATTCTCATATTTGCTGAGAATGTGGGAACTTTCTATAAAGAGCTTTTAACTTATTAAGTCATCATGTTCTCCAAAATATTTAATCTCATAGACACACAAATCATCAGACTGCCTTCAGTTTTTCTTTTTGCCTATGAAAACTTTTGTTTGAATGTACTCTTCTGCTTTTTGCAGCGCATGGAGTTCTCGGTGAAGAATACGCAGGTTCGAGGAGGTTACGTTCTCCATGTGGGTACAGTCTATGGCACACTGAAAGTTGGAGACCGTGTCACCTTACACGTAGATGAGGTGAGAATTGAAACCGGGATATTGACCCTATTTTTTTAAAAACAAACAAACAAACAAAAAAAAGCCAGCTAAGTAAAAGAGATTCTAGGTAGGTTGAGCTTTATGTAGAGCTTTATCTATCCACACACACTTTCCAGGCTCGCCGTAGACCCATCATGAGCAACCACACTGCCACACACATCTTGAACTTTGCCCTGCGTGGGGTGCTAGGGGAGGCAGACCAGAGGGGCTCCCTGGTTGCCCCCGATCGCCTGCGCTTTGACTTCACTGCTAAAGGTGCTCTCAGCACTGATGAGATCCACCGGACTGAGGAGATCGCTTGTACCATGATAAAAGATGCTAAGGTCAGTGGATGGAGTGAAATCACCAGCCAGTCTTATGAAGAGAAAAAAATGTTGATCCTCACAGACTTTTTTTAATATTAATATTGGATTTGAACTTTCCAGCCTGTGTACGCAATGGAAGCAACCCTCGCAGAAGCCAAAGCGATTCAGGGTCTGCGCGCTGTATTCGATGAGACATACCCCGACCCGGTCCGTGTCGTGTCTGTTGGCATTCCTGTCCCAGAACTGCTGGCCGACCCCAACAGTGCTGCTGGCTCCCTCACCTCCATCGAGTTTTGTGGTGGAACGTGAGTATGACACTTGTTTTCAGTCTTTGTGCATTTCTGCTCACACTTGACGGGGAATGCAAATCAACCACATGGCTGTTAGCGTTGTTGGGTCAACTCAGCGTGGTTTCCTCTTAACAAAAAGTTTTTATATGTGATGGGTCTAAGGAAGCCCGTTTCCACCACTAAAAAAAAGTAACTCTTTCTCGAAATTTTGAATTATTTTCTCAAAATTTCGAGTTAATACGTTTCGAGAAAAGTAACTTGAAATTTCGAGTTAGCGGTGTGGATATGTCAAACACCCTTTAGACTTATGTATTAAAGTGCTCAATTTGAGCCAATTGTTTAAATTCATCAGATTTTTTTTCAGTATTATTTTGTTTTTCTTTTATTATTCAACCATTTGGATTTTAAGTCTTACATTTAGGGGCAACTGTGTCAGCAGCACCTACTAGGCTTCAGCCTGAGCTGAACTGAAGACTGCGTTTCTGATAATGGATCTATATGAAAAATAATATGGCTGTTTTTTGTGGTACAGTCTTCCAACAAGTTATAATTATAGTATTATTTTTTATGCCTGTTATTAGCAGGGTATCTGTATCTGTGCGTTGTCCCCATTCTTTAAAAAAAAAGAAAAAGAAGCTCGCTAAGCTTGCTATGGTAGGGACCAACACACTAATGTTTAGACTTTAAAATGTGGACTCCAGTGGTAGATAGAGTAATAGCTATAGCTGTGTTTAATATACGGTTTATGGCTTGGACCCTTCAACCTCAGATTGTACAGTTTGGTGCTGGATCTCAGGTTCTATCGCTAACTATGTTATTGATGGGTTTCTTGTCTGTGATTTAAATCAGTTGCAGCCGTTCCCCATGAATAATGGACTCTAATTGTCAGTTTCTCAACAGTTTCTCAAACAGAGAAAATGGCCTTCTGTTAGTGTTTGCCCAAAAACCTCAAACCAGTTTTTCTCAGCTTCACTCCTTTAGTTTGGAGAGCTGCCTCATTCATTATCATGTTGTGATAATGAATGGTGACAATGCCTATTTGTTTAACAGTGTATTTCACAGATGTTAGTGATGTTTGGGAAAATGCACGGGGGGGAAAATGAGCAGAACGACAACATGTGGCAGGATGAAAAATCCAAGCATGCTAACATTTTTCTTAATTTGATATGCTGCATTGATTCAAGTGTGTTTGCCGTGCCATTACTGTGTGTGCGCCCTGAGTGGAATCAAGTGTGCAGCGCGAACACATCAGTGTACAAAAGTCCAAATACGCGCATTTGCATTGGGCCGATAGTTTTCAGACCAGCCCAGGGGCGGTGTGTAAAGTGGAAAGCGTTAATTGGATTTGTGCATCTTTATGGTGAGACGAGCGTGTCCCTGTGCAGACAGAGGCCTGGAACATTTCGTCAAGCTCAATCCACTGATTAGACTTGCTCCACTGACTCGTACAGTGTCTGCTCCTGGCTGTAAAATTCACCTGAATGCCCAGACATCTCCGCTCTTTCACACGTTGTGTTATAGCCTGGCTTTTTATGCCATTTTGTGCTGCAGGAGCCAATATTCCGAGCTACATTTGATGCAAAGGCTGCGAGGGTCGGTTCAGATTTTAAGCATCGCAAAAGACATTTGCATTAAGCCCATTCTATCTTCTTTTTTTGGTTTTAATTGCACATCCTTCCATCTCAAGCTGCTTCAGGTTTCAGTAAACTGTTGGTGTGCTTCTTGATGCTGTCTTTGATGTTGTTTTAATCTGCAGCCACTTCAAAGAGCCTCTCATTCCTGCTGCTGTTGTTTGGTAATGTTTTCCTCTCCCTCTGCTCCTCATCCTTTGCTCCTGCTCGCCCCTCTCCTACTTCTCATCTGCCTCCCGCAGTTGTGTAACGTTTTTGTTTTCTGTTATCCACAGCCATCTGCAGAACTCGGGTCACGCCGCGCCGTTCGTCATCGTCTCAGAGGAGGCCATCGCTAAGGGCATCCGCCGCATCGTTGCAGTGACAGGAACAGAGGCCCAGAAGGTCAGGACACACACACACAGCTTACACTTACTGATGTACTCGCTCAAAGCGTTACACTCATGTACTCACTTCCACCCCCACATACAGAGAAGGGTTTAGACAACATTTTAAAGACGGTAGCCCCACAGAGGGGCGGGGGTATCTTGATGGTGAAATGTTCACACTGGTAACTACAAACACGACTGATTAAAGGAAAATTTGTCCCAGACAAAGCGACCTTTGGGTTTCTGTGATGAAACTTGAATGAATGTTGGGGTGAACACTGTAGTAGAAAGAAGAATGTAGCACCCCTCTCTCTTCAGGCCCACAGGACAAATTTACTATTTTTAGACAATTAGTCTTTCATCTTTTCCACCAGTCGTCTTCTCTTCTCATTCTTCCTCCTCGTGTTTCTTTGCCCTTTTTGATCTTTGCCCCTGCCTCCCTCCTCACTCTGCTGTGTCGCATATCCATCAGGCTCAAAGGAAAGCTGATGCCCTGCGCCAGTCTCTGTCTGCCCTTGGAGACAAGGTGAAGCAGCAGACAAGCCCAAACAAGGACATACAGAAAGAGATTGCTGACATGACTGAGGTAAATGGGATGTTTGGTTTAGAGAGACGTTCTGAGGCAAATAAAAAAAATTGTGAAAAAATTGCAAATTGCGCTGTGGTAACATCTCCGTCTCCTCTGCAGTCGATAGGCACCGCTGTAATCTCTCAGTGGCAAAAGGATGAGATGAGGGAAACCCTGAAGGGCCTGAAAAAGACCATGGATGACTTGGACCGCAACTACAAGGCTGACATCCAGAAGAGGGTTCTGGAGAAGACGAAGGAGGTGATTGAAAGCAACCCAAACCAGCCGCTGCTCATCATGGAGATGGAAACTGGAGCCTCAGCTAAGGTGAGAGTCAAGACAGAATATTTTTGGGAAGGCAAGTCTAAAAATCAGTAGCAGAATTCTTATAAATCTCTTTATGTGTTATTCCATAAAAGAACCATGTCCTTGTTGGATATACAGAGCATAAAGAGAGAGCAAATTTATAATCCAATCCCCGAGACTTCATCAGCATCCTGTACAGAAATAAATTAGGAGTGCAAACAGTATTAAAATTCACTTTATCTCTGCACATTTTCTCAGGCTCACTTAGCTTATCTCATTGTGTTATTGCCACGGGACTAAATCAGCTCTGTGGCCCATTAGTTGTGACCTTGAGACATCAATAGTGCTGATTAGGAGATGTTTTTTATTCTTCTCTTCCCACTTCCTTTTACCCCTCTTTACATCCCTCTTTCCTTCTTCCTCTCTCAGGCTCTGAATGAGTCACTGAAGCTGCTGAAGTCGCAGTCCCCTCAGACAGCTGCGATGCTCTTCACTGTAGACCCAGATGCTGGCAAGATCACCTGTTTGTGTCAAGTCCCACAGGTATCGTTCAGTGACATATGCTAGAAGCCTTGCTCTGAGCATTTTCCATGAATTTAACCCTCCGCTTTCCACCCTCCACCTTTCTTCTCTGCAGGATGTGGCTAACCGTGGCCTGAAGGCCAGCCAATGGGTTCAGGAGCTGTGTCCCCTGCTGGACGGCAAGGGAGGCGGCAAAGACATGTCTGCACAGGCCACGGGCAGGAACACACAGTGCCTGCAGGAGGCGCTCCAGATGGCCAACGAGTTTGCACGGCTCAAACTGGGGGAGAACTAAGAGGCGCGAGGGTGGGGTCTGTGTGGGAGGTGCGGTTACAAACATATCGGGGAGTGAAGTGGAAATTAGTCTGAAATCTTCAAACATCCTGTCTTCGTTTTCCTCTCCTCTTTTAGACTTAGAAAGGCTGGAAAACTAGCAAAACTCAACCACTGATGCTCAGCCAGCAATAAATGAGCCACTCGTCTTTACTTTCTGCTTTGCCCTGTTAAAACTCGTCTCTCTGGGAATAACTTGAACACATAAGATCCACTCAAAACTGGAGGATGGCAGATGATTTCTACTTTCCTGTTTCCAACTCATTTTTGCATGCAGAGGAAAAGAAAAGGGACATACATTTGATGTAGCCTCCTACAAGTACTGTGCAGCTCAGAAAAATTGACAAAAAATTCCCACCTTGGAGCACAAAGTGGGCTTTCGACATACCACCATCCTGCCTCCATGTTTAGTTTCATCTCACTGTAGTCCTGTTTGTTTAGAAACAAGCCCCCAAGGCACTTTGTCCTTCTTTTGGCTTCCTGTACCACTTGGGCTCAGGAATAACAGTAAAGTTGACCCAGCTTGGACACAGTATAAATAATGTCTATCCTTTATTGGCAGAAAGCAGTTTGGCTCCGTCCATGTGTATGACAAAAGCCTGTGTGCTCTCCTGTGATTAGCTGGACTTGAGTTGTACAGTACATGCAGTAGCTGTATTATAGTCTTCAAATAACAAGCCATTTTCTGACATGTAATAAAATAATGGGTTTAATTTAGTAAATTAAGAATTCACTAACTGTAAAATGATCACGAACATGTCTAGTAACCAATCTTTGCAATTTCATGCTGCTGACATTTAATATTGATTAATTAAATGCAGAAAGTTTTGTTATTGTATCTGCTTCCTGTCACTGAAATGTCACGCTATGGGATGGAATAAATACAGCTGACAAATGCCACATGTCTGTGTCATTCCTGGTAGATCTGTGATGAACTTTGGGTTATTCATTTCAGATGGACTGTTATGGATTTGAGATTGATCTAAACTCCAAGCACTGTTCATAAACTGTACGTAAAAGATGGCTGTAGCTTCCACGTCTCAGTGTCTAATGACCAGCAGGGGGCGACTCCTGTGGTTGCGTAGAAATCTGCAGGAAAACAGCCCTTTATGATTGAACAGTTGCTAATGTATGAGCTTCACATTCAAATCCAGCTCTCACTGGATTAAAAAAGATAAGAGTGTGACAGCCAAAACTCAAATTGAGGTTATCTCTTATAGTCTATTGATACTGACACAATCAGCTACTAAACAAAAATGTGACCCAATATGACCTGTTAAAAGAAGTGAGAGTTGCATACCTTGTACAAGCTTTTGTTGCTGACACTATATCAGCACTGATTTATTATCATTACAAATCCTTTGACCATTTGGCATCACAAACACAGCATCAGGCCTTAACCTCATCTTTCATGAAGCTTTTATTTGTACAATGCCATAAGATACAAAGAGTCTGTTCACATATCATATAGATGTTTGAGTGCAGTAAATACACGTTGTCCAAAAGGTATTCCTACCAAGGAATGAGACATTAAAGCCGGACTAGACAATGACAAATCCATACAGCAATAACAGGAAACCGTCCACATGGAGAGGTCTTAACCCTCCAAACGTTAGTGTTTAAATATCTGACTACTCGTTTTGTTGTTGCGACAGATGCATTCACTAAGCAGCCTTTAAGCCTACTTTATAAGACTGGTGTTTTGTCTAGCTCACTGTAGAGTACTGGGACAACAGCTAACGGAGGTATGTATGAGTGTTGGCGTTACAATCCACAGAGACAGTCTGACATGGGCTGTCTGCAGCTCACTGACTGTTGCTGCTGCTGCTGCTGCTAAAGAGCCGTTTCTGTTCAGTGCAGACCAGTGAACTGATGAGGAAGGAGCAGCTTGTGGCTGTTCCCACCTCAGCAGGCTGGCAGGAGGAGCCGGCGATGTAACGATGCCAACAGCCAGCACTGGCAGTGTTTTGATCATGATGTATTTGTTCCTACAAACTCTTTTTCAAACAGCCAGGGCAATGTCTGTCCCTACTGCACAAAGCTATTCTCCATTACTTCAGAGTGACACAGAGATTCAACCACAGCAAATGGAAAGAAACAGAACGAGGCAAATGAATTAAACTATTAATCCGGCACAGGTTATCTATCATTTACCTCTGCTAGACAACCACAAATTGATCCAATTTTATTTGTTCCTGTCAAATTAAGTAATGATTTAAGAATTTTTTTTTTTTTTTGACAAAAACTCAAATTGCCTCATCTGTCCTCATACCAGTGCCTCTAAAGCTCATTTATTAACATGCTGCATCTTCTTTGTTTAATCATTAAAGACTAAAACCTGTCTATGGGAACATAGACTGTATATAAAAGATGGGCATAGCTTCGGGTTTAAAGAGAGCGCCAATGGATAAATATGTTAAATCTGAATTCTCATCCAGCACATTTTTAAGTACCTTTATTGTGAGTCAATGGTCTTAACTGTTAGCTGAAAACATAATGTTCATTTTGCAAATTATGGTTCCAATTAGTTTCCAGAATAACGAAGCGGTGTTTATCTCCTGTGCAACGGACACGTGGTGAACCAACGAGCAGTGTCCACCAGATATGGCCTGCTCTTAAAACTGCTGGTTTCAAAAACGCTCATCTCATTCACTAACAAATGAGTGATGTCACACTGGCCACTTCTTTCTTCTATAAACAGTCTTTGGGTTCCACCCCACCTGAATTTCCTCCACTGGTCCCGCTTCCAAACTGTCTGTTCATATTAATGGGTAGAAAATACGTGGAGCACAAAGGGGTTCAGATTCCATCTTTCAGGGAAAAACAGTTTTCTTACTAAATGTGTAACACTAAAACAAAGCACTCAAAAGCACCAGTCTGCATTATGTTAGCTTCATTAGTTTTCGGTTCAGTGCCCGGCAACAATTTGCCGTATTGCTGCATGGGAGCCAAATCTCCTAATCCATGTTGGTGAAAGCAGGTCAGTCCACAATTAAAATCATTATAACTCAAACATTAACCTACAGTTTGGTAGGTTTTGGTAGAGTTTTCAGATTTTCCCTTTAAAATTTCTGTATGTGACGCTATAAACATTATTGTCCAGCTTCCTTTTTTTCGCTGATCTGGTGTTTTGAAATGGTCTTAGTTCCCTTCACTCATTCTTTTTGATTACCCCATAAACAATGCAGCCAATTCGTTTAATGTGCCTCTGTTTCTATCCACGAAAATGGAAAGTGTGGTAAACTCCCCGTGCAGCGTCACAAAGCTCGATAACATAGTTTCAGGCGATCAGTAATTGGGTGATGTTTGTGGCTTCACCGAGCAGCAGCACATGACACGTGAGACAAAACTGAGTAAAAATAGTCCTGGATGTATCGGGGACCTGGATTCCACTGACAGCACGAACAAATCAGCTTTTAGCACAGGGATGGTCGGGGTAGTCCGATCTAAAATTATTGTATAATTGTATTAAATCAGTCCAGTTTAAACTCAGCATTTTCTGTAAGTCAGCCTCAGTGAGCCACGCAATCAAATTTCACAGCCTAGCACAAGCACACAAGCACAAATTTAACTGAAATGCTGTCAGTCGTTTCCTACAAAGTTACAACACAGAACCTAACCAGAAAACTGGTTCTCCAGGAGAAAAGAAAAATGAGTGTATTGGGTCAGAGAAAAGACCTACTTTAGGTTAGAAATACTACAGGGAACACTCAGATCTGTGTCATGTAGGTGGAGGGAAAAACTCCACACTAATCTAGGCTGGTACACCCGAAAGGGATCGCCCTGCCACTTATCTCTTTCTATCACGATGTTCAGGTCTACAGCTGTGAGCCAGGAAGCTGAAAAGTGTTACCGGAGAGCAACATAAATAATGTCTGCATAAAAGCCACATTATCTCCAAAACAATTTACACATTCATTCTGAATGTGGCAGCTGACGATTTTAACCCCTTAGCAGTCCTACAAATTTACAATTAGTCCCCTAAACCATCCAATGTACCGTGGGCGGTACGTCCGACTGCTAACAGGTTAAGAAAACACCGAACCAGGGTCAAGTTCACCACAGAAGCAGTACAGTGATACGTCTACGATTTTAGCTGCTTTGTTATCATCTGCATCTGCTGTTTTACACTCGTGGCGTGCTTCAAAACAGACAAGAACAGGACAGGTACCCGCAGAGTCGCGGACTAGAATAAAGCAGATTCAAGCGCTCTCTGTCTGCCGTCTATCTTGCCTCACGAGTATCTACCCTGTGTCCCAAAAAGAAGCAAAGGGCCCAATATGAATTCACCGTGAGTCACGCTGCATCACGAGTTTACATCTCTCCCTCAACCATCTTTAGAAAACAATGACAGTAAGGAGTGAACACCAGGGGACGTTTGTACCGTGACCAGAAGGCAGAAGAGCGTGTTTCATGAAGGTGTGTGCATGTACAGCTCAGAAGGCACAGTTCTCAGCCAGAAGATGTGCATGTGTGTGCTTTTGTGTGCACGTGTTTGTGGGAAAAAATGGCAAATGGTAGCAGGTGTGTGTTGCCGATGGAGCAGCTGTAGGCGAGAGGATGTCCAGCAGCAGGACAAGGCACGAAAGCATGAGTGTACACGTGTGTGTGTGTGTGTGAGAGAGAGATAAAGAGTGTCCAGAATCAGCCACAGCAACACCAAAACATCCTGTAAAATCTGTTATGTGCAAAGAAGAAGAAAAACACTGAAATCAAGTACAATGACAATACAGTAATACACCAACGGAGCTCATATCAGAAGCACAGGCACAGCTTAAAGTGGACCTCTTATGCTCATTTCCAGCTCCATGTTTGTTGTGTTTTTATTCTTGGGCTCTCACAATAGCCTTTAATGATTTATAGCTCAAAGTAATCTTTATTTATCATATACTGGGTCTTCAGCTTGCCACTGAAAACAACCAGTGTTGGCTCTTTTCCCTTTAAGCCAGCTTTCTTCTGATTAGCTGAGACGAACAAATTAGGCACAGACCCCCCATAACTGTCTGAAACTGGGTGATTAGAGCAGGCTGAAGCTTTTTTCACCTCAGTGCTTGAAATTTTGGCCATGTTTGATATGAGCATCCACTTCTGTAACAGTATATATATATATATATATATGACAGAAAATTAGGTAAAGCATAATGGGTACTCTTTAATCGTTCTCAGTAAGAATGTTGGTTAAAGTACATGTAAAATGTAAAACAGCTAATAAGAACATACCTCAGTAATAATGTCAGGGGATGATATCCCCGAAGTTATAACAACAATCGCGGAGAGATGTGATTGTTCTCTCACACAGGTCTTATTTCACATGGATGAAGCAGGTGCTGCAGAAGTTGGCGCTCACAGTTCCTACGCAGCTTCTATTGACAAATCTTCATAACCATTTTTAGGGGGGTGTCAGATTTGGTATTTTAACTCAGCGCATGCCACATTATGAGTCACTAAATACACGCTGACTCATAAAGAAAAATATTCAAGCTGTACCTAGCACTTTTCTCACAGAGCAGCATGCTCTATGAGTCTGTATGTGCTGTTTGCCCTGGGTTAAAATAGGAAGGCCGGATGTGGAAAAATGTGAGATGAAACAAAACAAAAAACATAAAAACACTGCTGGTGAATTTTGGGAACCTCATAGAGCAACAGCGGCGACAGGGCCTGCAGAGGTTTTGTTTCTCTGTAAGCATATCCTGCAGATCTAACAGCCCAGCTCAATGCTTTTTCCTATTCGTAAAACATTAACAAAGCTGATTTAAACACAAAACAAAACAAAAAAACTAAACGCCATCGGCAGGGAAAACCATTATATTACTACATTTTCTAATTTTAGATGTATGAAAACAGGACACGCTGCTCCATAATGTTGCTTGTGGTCAAAAACTCCACAGGATGCCTTTAAC